AACACAGGGGATTTGCCACATGTCTGAAATTCGGTGCCACCCCTTCCGCAGATCCGCGGAGTCAGGGTCCAAAAACACACGGGATTTGCCACATTTTTGAAATTCGGTGCCACCCCTCACGCAGATCCGCGGGGTCAGGGTCCAAAAACACCAAGGATTTGCCACATTTCTTAAATTCGGTGCCACCCCTCAAGCAGATCCGCGGGGTCAGGGTCCAAAAACACCAAGGATTTGCCACATTTCTTAAATTCGGTCCACCCCTCACGCAGATCCGCGGGGTCAGGGTCCAAAAACACACGCGATTTGTTACATTTCTGAAATTCGGTGCCACCCCTCACGCAGATCCGCGGGGTCAGGGTCCAAAAACACAGGGATTTGCCACATTTCTGAAATTCGGTGCCACCCCTCACGCAGATCCGCGGGGTCAGGGTCCAAAAACACAAGGGATTTGCCACATTTCTGAAATTCGGTGCCACCCCTCACGCAGATCCGCGGGGTCAGGGTCGGTGCCACCCCTCACGCAGATCCGCGGGGTCAGGGTCCAAAAACACAGGGGATGTGTCACATTTCTGAAATTCGGTGCCACCCTTCACGCACATCCATCGCAAGGCGTGGTAACCCAAACTGCGAGAACTCCCTCGGCCCTTTAATCGCAAGGTGTGGTAACCAAGCCCGTAAACCATACACGTCTTACCAATCGCCAGGTGTGGTAACCCCTCTTGTGATCAGTTGGTTTTGCTGATTGCGAATCGGCTTCGCATGAAGTTTCGATACTGCTTCACGACAGCGCCAAGGCCTCATGACTTAGCTCTTCCATGGCCCATTCTCCGAGAGAGGGGGCCGGCGGCAGGGGGCGAAGCCCTTACGGATAAATTAGCCTGGCGAAGGACCCAACCATATGCAGTTGTGAATACCGCAATTGTGGATACCATCTTCGCCCGCGCTCCCTATGTGGCCACGGCTTCCCGCCGGAGCCCGACGTGCTCAGGGACACGTTCGTGGCCGTCTTCGCGGGCGCCGACGACGACAAGGACAGCGTCCCTTGGAGCGAGGAGCAGAAGCAGGAGAGGGCCTTGAGAGCCATGAGGGAGGAGGTGGCGTTGCACGTCGACAAGGCGGCTGTTGAAGCAGCACAATCATGGGGCCACGATCCTCGTGAGGGATGTGCCGCAATGGCCCGAGGCCGCCATGCGAACCCTGCCACTGGCGCCTTCGGTGGAGCTCCAGTGGGGCCACGGTCCTCGTGAGGGGTGTGCCGAAATGGCCCGAGGCCGCCATGCGAACCCTGCCACTGGAGCCTTCGAGGTCCCTATGTGGCCACGATCCTCGTGAGGGGTGCGCCGAAATGGACCGAGGCCGCCATGCGAACCCTGCCACTGGCGCCTTCGGTGGAGCTCCCTATGGGGCCACGATCCTCGTGAGGGGTGTGCCGAAATGGCCCGAGGCCGCCATGCGAACCCTGCCACTGGCGCCGTCGGTGGAGCTCCCTATGGGGCCACGATCCTCGTGAGGGGTGTGCCGAAATGGCCCGAGGCCGCCATGCGAACCCTGCCACTGGGGGCCTTCGGTGGAGCTCCCTATGGGGCCACGATCCTCGTGAGGGGTGTGCCGAAAGGCACCGAGGCCGCCATGCGAACCCTGCCACTGGGGCCTTCGGTGGAGCTCCCAATGGGGCCACGATCCTCGTGAGGGGTGTGCCGAAATGGCCCGAGGCCGCCATGCGAACCCTGCCACTGGCGCCTTCGGTGGAGCTCCCTATGGGGCCACGATCCTCGTGAGGGGTGTGCCGAAATGGCCCGAGGCCGCCATGCGAACCCTGCCACTGGCGCCTTCGGTGGAGCTCCCTATGGGGCCACGATCCTCGTGAGGGGTGTGCCGAAATGGCCCGAGGCCGCCATGCGAACCCTGCCACTGGGGCCTTCGGTGGAGCTCCCTATGGGGCCACGATCCTCGTGAGGGGTGTGCCGAAATGGCCCGAGGCCGCCATGCGAACCCTGCCACTGGGCCTTCGGTGGAGCTCCCTATGGGGCCACGATCCTCGTGAGGGGTGTGCCGCAATGGCCCGAGGCCGCCATGCGAACCCTGCCACTGGCGCCTTCGGTGGAGCTCCCTATGGGGCCACGACAAAACGCTGTACTGGGTGGGTAAAACGCAAGGAGGAGGGAGAAGGAGGAGGAGGAGGAGGAGGAGGAGGAGGAGGAGGAGGGAGGAGGCAGCGGGAGGAGGAGGTGAGACGCGGGGCGCTGTCTCTTCAAAACGATGACCCAACACCACAGGATGGTTGGGAAAAAACGGTGTGGCCCTCTTCGAGCTCTCCCGGGATGGCTCTCGGAGCTCTCTTGGGCCGTTTTTGGAGCCTCGGGGCACTTCTCTGGAGGCCTCTCAGGAATCTGGGGCTTGTTAGGGGGCCTCTGGGCGGCTCTGGAGACCTTTCGGAGCCTCTCGGGGCATCCTGCTCCCGCCCCCAACGAGCCCCAGGTCCCTAAGAGTTCCCCCCCAACAAAACCCACGAGGCCCCCAGAATAGCCCAAGAGAGCTCCGAGTGACGTCCCGAAAGGGCCCGAAGAGGCCAACATCGTTGATTTCCATTTGTTTGTTCGAGGTTTTTTGGCTTTCTCGCATTTTGAAGCTCCTGCCCTCGGGGCCTGGGGCGCTCTTGGCACGTCTTGGGCGCCCCTCGAGCAGTCTCGAGACGCTCTGGGGCCGTTTTGGGGCTCTCTTAGGGGGGTCTCCTCCGCCGGCCCTTTGGGGGGACCTGTTTCGGCTGCCATGGAGCGTTGGAGGCTCGAAAACGCGAGAAGCCCCTCCAAAAAAAAATTATCCTGGCGAAGGACCCAACCATATGCAAACGTGAATACCGCAGGGCAGGTGGGACGAAGCAAAAGGAATTCCCAATGTGGCCACGAACCGTGTGAGGGGTGCGCCACACTGGGGCGGGGCCGCCATGCGAACCCTGCCACTGAGGCCTTCGGTGGAGCTCCCTATGTCCCTGCGGGGCCACGAACCGTGTGAGGGGTGCGCCAATATGGGGCGGGGCCGCCATGCGAACCCTGCCACTGGGGCCTTCGGTGGAGCTCACTATGGGGCCACGAACCGTGTGAGGGGTGCGCCACAATGAGGCGGGGCCGCCATGCGAACCCTGCCCCTGGGGCCTTCGGTGGAGCTCCCTATGGGGCCACGAACCGTGTGAGGGGTGCGCCAAAATGAGGCGGGGCCGCCATGCGAACCCTGCCACTGGGGCCTTCGGTGGAGCTCCCTATGGGGCGACGAACCGTGTGAGGGGTGCGCGAAAATGAGGCGGGGCCGCCATGCGAACCCTGCCACTGGGGCCTTCGGTGGAGCTCCCTATGGGGTCACGAACCGTGTGAGGGGTGCGCCAAAATGGGCGGGGCCGCCATGCGAACCCTGCCACTGAGGCCTTCGGTGGAGCTCCCTGTGGGGCCACGAACCGTGTGAGGGGTGCGCCAAAATGGGCGGGGCCGCCATGCGAACCCTGCCACTGGGGCCTTCGGTGGAGCTCCCTATGGGGCAACGAACCGTGTGAGGTGTGCGCCACAATGAGGCGGGGCCGCCATGCGAACCCTGCCACTGGGGCCTTCGGTGGAGCTCCCTATGGGGCCACGATCCGTGTGAGGGGTGCGCCAAAATGGGGCGGGGCCGCCATGCGAACCCTGCCACTGGTGCCTTCGGTGGAGCTCCCTATGGGGCCACGAACCGTGTGAGGGGTGCGCCAAAATGGGGCGGGGCCGCCATGCGAACCCTGCCACTGAAGCCTTTAGTGGAGCTCCCTATGGGGCCACGAACCGTGTGAGGGGTGCGCCAAAATGGGGCGGGGCCGCCATGCGAACCCTGCCACTGGGGCCTTCGGTGGAGCTCCCTATGGGGCCACGAACCGTGTGAGGGGTGCGCCAAAATGGGGCGGGGCCGCCATGCGAACCCTGCCACTGGGGCCTTCGGTGGAGCTCCCTATGGGGCCACGAACCGTGTGAGGGGTGCGCCAAAATGAGGTGGGGCCGCCATGCGAACCCTGCCACTGGGGCCTTCGGTGGAGCTCCCTATGGGGTCACGAACCGTGTGAGGGGTGCGCCAACATGGGGCGGGCCGCCATGCGAACCCTGCCACTGGGGCCTTCGGTGGAGCTCCCTATGGGGCCACGAACCGTGTGAGGGGTGCGCCAAAATGGGGCGGGGCCGCCATGCGAACCCTGCCACTGGGGGCTTCGGTGGAGCTCCCTACGGGGCCACGAACCGTGTGATGGGTGTGCCGAAATAGAGGCATGCGGAGGGTGATGGTGATGATGACGACCATGTTGGTGCTGATGATGATGACGATGACGATGACGATGATGATGGCGATGACGATGATGATGGTGAGAGGGAGGAGGGAGGAGGGAGGAGGGGGAGGAGGGGGGGAGGAGGAGAGGAGTGAGGACGCGGGCGCTGTCTCTTCAAAACGAGGACCCAACACCACAGGATGGTTGGGAAATAAAAAAGACAACAACAAAAAAATAGAATCCATGATTTGGGGCTCATCGGGCCCTCCAGGGACGCCTCTCGGAGGTCTCTGGGGGCCTCCTGAAAGCCTTCTTGGTCAACTCTGCGGCGACCCGGGGAGCCTGCAAAGCCGTCGGGAGGTTTTCTTGGGTTGCTTGACAGCGTCTTGGGTTGTTCTTTTGCATTCAGGGGGCTCTTTGGGGGCGTCTTGGGCCGTCCTGGAGCGTCTTGGGGCTTCCCTGGGAAGCCCGAGGGCGCGGTACCGAGAATGCCCCCTGGATGTTCCAGAGGTGTGGAACGATCCCGGGGGGGGGCGGCGCATTTGTAGACATACCCACCTATATATACACATATATATATATACACATTTATATAAATATAAATACACATACATACACACACATGCATGTATACAGACATACATACATACATACATACATACATACATACAGACAGACAGACAGACAGACAGACAGACAGACATACAGACAGACATATGTATGTGTGGCGAGAGAGAGAGAGAGAGAGAAATGGAGGGATAGAGAGAGAGAGAGACAACAAAGAGAGAGAGAGAGAGAGAGAACGAGAGAGAAAGAGAGGGGAAAAAAGGCTGGAAAATGACAGTCGGAGCACGCGGGGACAGCACAGTTCCGCCTGCCACGAGGCTCATGCCTTCTGGGAAAGGACGCCCGCGATCAGGGTCTTGAGGTGTCCGTGCGGGGAGCCAAGGAAACGTGCACCTACCCGACCCATCCGTCCTCCAGTCCTCTCGCCCATACACACCCGTTCCCTCCCTCCCTCCCCCCGCCCTCTCTCCTCCTCCTCCTGCTCCTCCTCCTCCTCCTGCTCCTCCTCCTCCTCTTCTTCCTCCTCCTCCTCCTCCTCCTCCTCATCCTCCTTCTCCTCTTCCTCCTCCTCCTCCTCCTCCTCTTCGTCCTCCTCCTCCTCCTCGTCCTCCTCCTCGTTGTCCTCCTCCTCCCTTCCTTTCCCTTCTAAACAACGTCTCCCTGTCGCACCTGGAAGCCAGTTTTTAGAGCGGGCCGGGCGTTTCGCCTGAGACTTCCTTACCATGTATGACTCTGGAGTTTTCAAAGTGGCAACACTTTCACAGATGGAGGGCGGGTGGTTTTCAAAATGTCGTTCTCGCCATAGCGCCGCGCACATTCTTTTTTTTTAATTTTGCAAGAGCTTCACGGATTGAGGGCGGGTGGTTTTCAAAATGTCGATCTCGCCTTAGCGCCGCGCACATTCGTTTTTTATTTTGCAACAGCTTCACGGATTGAGGGCGGGTGGTTTTCAAAATGTCGTTCTCGCCTTAGCGCCGCGCACATTCGTTATTGAAAAATTGCAAGAGCTTCACGGATTGAGGGCGGGTGGTTCCGAAATGTCGTTCTCGCCTTAGCGCCGCATGCTCGTTTTCAAGATTTACAAGAGTTTCACGGATTGAGGGAACGTCGTTTTCAGTGTCAAGTGTGGCACTCGCCTTAGCGCCGCGCACACTCGTTTTTGAAAAATGCAAGAGCTTCACACTTCACACATTGAGGGCGGGCCGTTTTCAAAATGTGGCTCTCGCCTTAGGGCCGCGCACACTCGTTTAAAAATGTAAAAGCGTTTCACGGAAATGGCGTTTTGGAAAGATTCAGGATTACGCGGACGCAACAGTTATGTTGATTCGCGGTGTTGAACTCCCCCCAAAAAAGCGTTCTGGCACGATTCCGGATCGTCATCAGGGTCATCCGTAAAAAACCCGAGAACAATGTTTTGGCGTGCTTCAAGGTCTTCAAACGGTTGTCTTCCAACGGGGCAGTTCCCTCAATGGAAATGAGCCATTGTACGGGGCCTATGAAGAGGGAATTTGGAGGCAGGGTGAATTCCAACATCTTTCATGATTCTTGGGTTTACATCGGTCCTCCTCCTTCTCCCTCCTCCTCCTCTTCCTCCTCCTCCTCCTGTTCCTCCTCCTCCTCCTCCTCGACCTCCTCCTCCTCCTCCTCCTCTTCCTCCTACTCCCCCTCCTCCTCCTACGCCTCCGCCTCCTCCTCCTCCGCGTCCTCTTCCTCCTCCTCCTCCTCCTCCTCCTCCTCCTCCTCCTCTCGTCATCATCATCATCATCATCATCATCATCACATCATCACCATCCTCCTCCTCCTCCTCCTACTCTCTTGTGTGTATAGGTTATAGTTCCTCCTCCTCCTCCTCCTCCTCCTCCTCCTCCTTTTGTTCCTCTTCCTCTTCCTCCTCCTCCTCCTCCTCATCCTCCTCCTCCTGCAACAGAAAGAACAAGAGAGGACAGAGTGTCTTCAGTCGTGCGCGGATCGGCCTACTGTTAAGGCCAACCCACCCCCCACCCACCCACCCCATCCACCCACCCAAAAACACACACACGAAAAACTAACAAAACACACACACACACAAACAACAACAACAACAACAACAACAACAACAACAACAACAACAACAACAACAACAACAACAACAACAACAACAACAACAACAACAACAAAAACGGGGGGTAACAACAAACAAAAAAACTGATAGTACAACATAATGTTTTTTAATAATGATAATAATATATAAAATAACACACAAAAAAAAGAGAGAGAGAGAGAGAGAGAGAGGAGGCGGGCGTCGCCAACGAGACACCTGCAGCTTTCCGAGGGGGGGCAGAAATAGTATTGTGCTCCATTTTGGGGGACCAGAACCATCGAAAAACACCCAGACAACCCCCGAATTGGGATTTGTGTTGGGGGTCCGCGGGGCTTGCAGAATTAATGTTGTTTGTAACTGCGGGGCCCAGAACCCTTGAAGAAAACACAATAAAAAGAGGTGTGAGGGTTTTGTTATTTGAATATTCCGGTGGTTTCCCGAATGATGTTTAGAAATATGTGTGTTGTTACTTGTGGGGTCCCAGAACCCCCTCCAAAAAAAAAGCCGTGTGGTTTTCAGAATTATTTTACGTGTGGATCCCCAGGACACCTGGAACAATTAAAACAGCAACGAGATTGGGGGTTGGTGTCTTTCTGAAACGCTTTACGGGTGTTCGTTAGATGTGTATATATGTAAACACATGTGTATATATATATATATATGTATACCCAGAACCTCGGAATAACCTCTGGTGATGGGGAAAAAACTACTTGTTGTTAAATAATAGTGCTGCTTAACTGTGGGACCCCACAACAACGGAAAAAAAAGATAATGAAAGTTCGTCCGTGGTGTTCCAGGGGGTAAGAGGAAGACATAATATTGTTTTCTGTGTGGGACACTGGAGACACACACAAAAGAAACGAATTGGGAGGTTTCCCCCGAGAAATGTCAGACAACAACACAAAAATGTGGGAGGTGTTCCAGAAAGGTTTTCCGCGGGGTTCTCAAAAAATACCATTGTTTTTAAATGTGGGGCCCATGAACCCCCGAAAAATCCTCGAACAACCGCCGAGTTGGGGTTTTGTTCTTGGGTTTTCCGGGGGAATACAGGAAGAATGTTGTGTTTTGTGGGGACCAAGAACTTCCGAACAAAAAAACAAAAGTTGTTCGGAGATTGTCCGTGATGTTTTCCGAAATAGTGCTGTTGGGCCCAAAACCCCTAAAGAAAACACCAGAGGAACAAAAAATACCAACAACACATAAGCTCGCAGTGTGTTTATGGAGTTGTTTTCTGGTGGGTGATTTTCATACATATTTCCCCAATCAGAGCTTGCCTCTGTAGCCCAGGTGCCCGGGGGTGCCCAGGTGCCCGCCCGGTAGCCATATAGCCTTATACCCCTAGAGCCTTATAGCCTTATAGCCCTATAGCCCTATAGCCCTCTAGTCCTATAGCCCTATAGCCCCAATAGCTCTATGTCCCTATAGCCCTAATAGCCCCAGGGCGTTATACCCTTATGACCCTATAGCCATGTAGCCCTATAGCCCTATAGCCCTTTAGCTCTCTAGCCCTCTAGCCCTATAGCCCTATAGCCCTATAGCCTTATAGCCCTATAGCCCTTTAGCCCTTTAGCCTTTTAGCCCCATAGCCCGATATTATTAAAGATGATGGTTGGGTCTTTTTCTGGTATCATTGCGTGTGTTTGTTGAATTGTGGGGCACCAGCTCCATTGAAGGGAGGGGGGGGACAAAAAAAAGGAGAGGGCAAAAAAAAAAAAAAAACGAGCCGTGGGGGATCGAAGGTTTTTCGGGGGGGTCCGAAATACCGTGGTTTCTCTATGTGGGGCCCCAAGAGCTCCCGAAAAAACCTGCTGGAGTCAGGGGGTGTTTCAAGAGTTCCTGGCTCCCGAGTTGGGAGGTTGTTCGGTGGTTTTCCCTCCATATACCGGGAGGGGGGGGAGCTTGCGTTTTTTGGGGGGGCGACATTCGAAAACAAGATTATTTCTGACCCCCCCCCGAAAAAAAACTCCCAAAAAACGACGAGGTGTTTCCCAAGTTGTCCGGAGGTTGTCCCCCCAAAAAAAAACTGTTTTTAACTGCGGGGCCCCAGGAACCCAGAAAAAACATAGAAAAACCTCCGAGTTTAAGGGATTTCCCCATGGTTTCCAGAGAGCGGGGCCACAAAACCCCCCAAAAAAAACAAAAAGAAACAAACAAACAAAAAACGAAAAGACCAGAGTTTGTTTTTTTGTTCGAAGCCCCCCCCCCCCCCCCCCCCAAAAAAAACGAAACAAAAAAACAATATATATATATATTATATATATTATATATATATATATATATATGTATATATGTAAGTATTATATATGTGTGTATGTATATATATATATATATAACGGAAATCCCCGAGATGCCAGGTTTTTTTCAAGGTTTTCCGGCGGGGTTGGAAACAAGATTGTTTTAATTGTGGGGCCCAGGAATCTCAGAGAGGGACAAAAAAACGAAAAGCTTCCGAACTTGTTTTTTGTTGTTCTGATGTCCCCCGACTGGTTTTCAAAAAATCCGCCGGTCCCTTGTGGGTCTCCTGGCGTGTGAGAACGTTCCCCCCCCATCATCCCCCCCAGGGACCCCAAACCAGGATTTTGAACCCCCCCGGCCCTGGGGGGCCCCGGACCGAACTCACCTGGGGCGGTCTGGGCTCCCTCGGTTCGCTCTTGAGCTGCACGACACCACTTGACGCCTCCCAAAAACCCGCCAAGACGGTCCACGAGAACCCAAGTCGCCGAAAGCTCGTTCCAGGACGCCCAAGATGAACTCAAAATGGCCCAAGAGGCCACCAAGACACCCCACGAAACCTCCAAGAAGCTTCCCAAGAAGCCCCCAGTAAACCAAAATCTTGACATTCCATTGGGGGAAAGCGCATTTCAGCAAATCCAATTTGTTAGCCTTCACGGCGTTGAAAGCCGTCCACGAGGCCCCCACGAGGCCCCCAGGACCACCCCAAGACGGCCCACGAGGCTCCTAAGAGGCCCCAAAGACAACCCAAAAGACTCCAACGAGGCCCACGAGGCGCCCTAGACGGCCCAAGAGAGCTCCAAGACGGCCCCAAAAAGAGCCCAAGAGAGGGACCACGAACCGCGAATTCCAGCGCTCCGCCCAACGAAGCTTTCCGGAGGACCCAACAGGCCCCCGAGCGGCCCCAAGAGGCCCCAACGAAGCACCCAAGAGGCCCCAAGGAGCCCCCAAGAGGCCCAAAACAAGCCCCAGAACGGCCCCCAGACCCTTCGAAACTGCCTCGAGGAGGCCCGCGAGAATCCTCGACACGAGATACCAACAGACATCCCAGAGCGCGCCACACACGACCCTGAACTCGACGCATTCTTGCTATGTTTCCTCGCCCCGGCTTCGGAATTCTGCCCGAGCGGTGGCAGACAGGAGACCCTGGACCCCCGTGGAGCCCGAACGCCTTGGATGTCCGAGCCGCGCCTAGGCGCGGCGACGGGCCCCCGCCGAAGGCGAGGCCTCCTTCTTCGCCTCATCCGTCATGTCCTTGTCTTTCTCCTGCTTTCTCCTTTAGAGGAAAGAGAACTATGCACATACACCGATTCTGGCCAGGCCCATCCTGAGCCCAGGATCGGTGCATACGCCCTCCTACCGTGGCCAGGACAGCATATGCACCGATCCTGGGTCAAGGATGGGCCTTGCCAGGATCGGTGCATATGCATAATTCTCTTCGCCCGATCCTCTTCCCTCCGCCACGCGAGAGCACGACTCGGAACGAGCGGGCACGCGGAAATGCGGCCGGAACTGCAGCGGAGACACGAGTCGAGACAAGCAGAAGCATGGAGACGAGGCCAGCGCAGGGCTCCCACTTCGCCTTTTCCCTCTCCCCCATCCATCCCCTATAGCTCCCGCCTGGTCCTGACCCACCCCCCACACCCCGCGGCTCCGAGCATTCGCGCGCTGCCTCGAACGCTTCCGCGGGTCTCACGCGCACGCCTCGCACTTCAACGCGCGTCGTTCTATGGCACGCGCGAAAAGCGGCCCAACCGTGGCGCCGAAGCACTGGAACGCTTGCCAACTGCGCGCCGTGAGCCCGTCGACAATGCAACCCGCGCATACACTTTGTATTTTGCCTCGTGAAGTGTTTGCTCTCTTGTTCGTCGCTGATGTGCTGCTGCCGAGCGAACTCCTTCTCGCACGCTGAGCACAACAGCAGTCAACCGCTTCGCAGCATCGGCTACTCCCGTCGCGGTGACGGCCCGCTTGTCACATTCTCCACAGACCACTCTCGTGTTTCGTTTCTTCGGTGCTCCTGTACCTGCTCGGGCTTCAAATGAGTCGTGTCCCAGAACGTTTTTCCGCACTCTGTCGCACAGCAGACCAGCGGCTTCGTTTCTGCCTCTGACTTCCGCTTGCGATTGTTTGACTCGCGCACGGCTCTTTCACGTTCTTCCGCGCATCTTCGACAGAGCCGCACCCCAGCTGCGCGGTGTTTCTTCTGCGACTCTGCTATCTCCTCCTTGTCGCCGCCGCCGTCGCCACCCTCCACCATCGCCACCCGACCTCTCACGAGCGGCAACATATCCGTATCGGCGCCCTCGCGGTGTGGATTCTGGGGCGCGATCCCGCGGATACGCGTCGCGCGGATTGGTTACGCGCGGGGCATCCCCGGAAATGCCGCGGGCACGAATAGGTTTGTCGCCCACGATAAGGTTTTTGACACCCTCGGCGTGCAGCGGGAAGCCGTTTCCGAGCCCACCGGGGGCCGCCAGGTAACGGATCGGGACGAGGCGCGGGTCCCAGAAAATACGATAACAGCAAAGAAGCAACAGGAACGATGTCGAGCGCCGTGTCATGATTCAGACAAGCCTCGTGGAATGCAGTCCTGGAGGTGCAATAGTTTATAAAGGGGTCGGCGGATGTGGCGTAAACCTATGGAATAATAATGTCTTTGTTTGTGGGGCCCCAGACGCCCCGACAAAAAAAACTACAAAAAAAACAGGTTCTTCCCCTCAGGAAAAACCTGTTTGACAAAATCCCGAAAGCACCCGGCAGAAGAAACAACAAAAAAGTTGGGGTGTTTTCGGAAGTTTCTCCCCCAGGAGAACCCTCAAAAAAAAACGACAAACTCTCGAACTGCAACACCCAACTGCCTCCCTTCTCCTCCTCTTCATCCTCCCTTTTCCTCCCTCCTCCTCCTCTTCCCTCCTCCTCCTTCTCCTCCTTCTCCTCCTCCTCCTCCTTCTGCTCCTCCTCCTGCCCCTCCTCCTTCCTACCAAAGGGTTGAATTCGTAGGTGCACGGTTTCTGCCCCCCGATGTACATATTGAAGTTAATAAACAGTAGTTGACCGCCAGGTAACAGAAAATTCAGAATCGTCAGCACCTCGTCAGGGCGGCTTGCCACTTCCTGCCGTGAGGCGGCGGAGGACGAAGACGACGAGGACGGAGAGGGGGACGAGGAAGATCTGGCTTGGGGTGGGTAAGAAATTGGTACACTGCGGTCGAGGGTCAGTGGTCTCAGAGTGGCGTTCGGCACAACCAGGCGGGCGGGGGGGGGGGGGAACACCCAACGAGCAAAATTCTAAAGCACCCTGACGCCTCCCCCCCTGCACGCAGCTGGTTTTGAGTGGACAGTCAATCATCAAAGCGAGCCTACGTGCATGGCTGACTGCATTCAAACCTGTATGTTGTCGCTGCATGGCTGAACCTAGGCCTTAATTTGGCATGTCCACGCTGTATACAAGCAGCGCAGAGAAAAATGAAGACGGAGAGGGGGAGGCGATCGCCAGCCAAGATGGCCCAAACCCAGGGAAACTATCTGCGGGTGCTTCGCGTCAGTGGAATAACACACGTTGAGGCTAGCCCCCACTCCCCCTCCCAACCCCGTCCCCTGCGGGGGAGGGGGGGGGCGGAATGAACTGGAAAGGCGCAGGAATGGTCGGATGGAGCGAAAGAGAGGAGACAAGGAGACAAGGAATGCACGGTGGGAGGGGCCAAGACGCAGGCGGGGGCGGATAATCAAGAATATGCAGAGGTAGAAGAAGACTAATGGAAAAGGATGAGGACGAGGAGGAAGAGGAAGAGGACACAAAAGGAGAGAAGGAGGGCATGCAAGCTGAGGGGGAGAAGGAGGAGGAGGAGGAGGAAAAGGAGGAGGTGGAGGTGTAAGGAGAAGACGAAAAAGGACATGAAGGGTAGGAAAATGATGATGAACGCGGGTGAAGGGATCACGAGCTGGTGGAGGCAGGAAACAGCAGAGCTGAAGGAAGAGAGAAAGAGGACGATGACGATGAGGATTCGAGGGCACAGAGGCAGAGGGATGGCAGACGGAGGAAATGTAGGCTCTAGGTTGGCCTCGCGCGCGCCCGTGCAGGGGCACGAGGTCCGGAAAAAGAACAAAAACGGGCAGCCGCCCGCAACGACGGCGACGGCGGCGGGCGAGACGGCGACGGCAACGGCGACACGACAGGCGACCGACAGGACACCTGGAGCGTCGCGCCCCGGGCGGGCACTGCGGCATCATGTGTGCATCCTGGGCTTACGCTGGTCCTCCTCCCGATGTCGTCCTCCTCCTCCTCCTGAGATCTGGGATCGAGTGGCAGGAGTAACATCCTGACGCTACCTTCCCCCCCTCCCCCAGGGGCCGTTACCTCGGGGGCGTGATTTAACATCTCCTCATCCTCCTCATCCTCCTCCTCCTCCTCCTCCTCCTCCTCCTCCTCCTCCTCCTCCTCCTCCTCCTCCTGCTCTTCCTCCTCCTCCTCTTCCCTCCTCTTCCCTCCTCATCCTCGTCCAACTCCTCACCACCTATCCTCTCCCTACCTCGACCCATCATGGCTGTCCAGCGCAGCCGCTCCTCTATTACGCCTCCGCCCTTGCGGAAGTGGTCGTTAAGCTCATGAACGAACAGCGTCAGGAAGTTCGACGCCTCCACACGAGGAGAGAGGAGGAAAAGGAGAAGGATGTGGAGGCGTACAAGAGGCCACGCAAACCGCCCACAGCGACCACATCGGAGCCAAGTCTGCCGCGAACAGCACGGCTCCTCTGAAGCCCTGGGGCCGCGAGAAAAAAGGCAGCGGCTGTGGACAAATTCCGTCGAGTAACCATTTCCAACGTATTGCCGACAACCGCACTCCCCTGCAGTCGGTGGTTCAAAGATGAGCCTCAAACAATGTAAATCCACCTGGGATCCCTTCCTATCCTCAAAACCCCATCCCTCAGGATCCCATCTTTGAACCGCCGACATGCAGGGCTCCCGTGAGGCCCCGACCGGGCAGGCAGGCTGGCGACGCCACCACACTCCCCACAGGTGTACATCCGAGCGCCCTGCGGTTGAGGCCTGCAGGAGGGGCCCTGCAGACGAAGGCTCAGGGGCCTGCAGACGAACATTTGTGCGGCAAGAAGCGCCAAGCGAAACGAGCACAAACCAAAAAACAAAAATGAACGTTCGGACTTCCGCGCGGATTTCCTGGGTGGGCGCTGGACTCCCCCTCCCTGGCACGCCGCGCGCGCCAGGGGCGGCGCTGGAGGCGCCGCCATGGAGGTCCAGTGTCGATCCAAAAAAATCCGCGCTGACCTCCGAAAGGTTATGTATACGCCGAGGTTGCCTCTTTGAGGTGGGACCGTGGCGGCCCACGAAGAGCAGACCCGAGCCGCACCACGCTGAGACGCAAAGGCGGCGCAGGTGCAGCAGCGCGGGTCTCTGCGGCCCAGACTGCAGAATGCGCTGAACATGAACATTCATCGTTTTCGCGCTCGACGCAGCCGCGACGTGAAGCGGCAAAATGAGGCGGGCCTCGCAACGCCATGACACAGCAAAAACACCCACTCGGTCCCAAACGATCTGGACGCAGGGCAACAATAGGGTGGCCGCTCCAAACCACGCCCTCCACTCTTTCGGAATTCGGACACACGTCAAAAACTTGGGCATCGTAGCATGGTTCATCCGAACCTCCTCCTCCTCCTCCTCCTCCTCCTCCTCCTGCTGATTACCGTCCATCCTCCTCCTGCTCGCTTTCTCCCCCTGACTCCCATCCTCAACCTACTGCACTTCGCCATCGTGAATGTTAACTCCATCATCGGTATCGATCCGCTCATCGTCGTCCTCCTCCTCCTCCTCCTCCTCCTCCTCCTCCTCCTCATCCTCCCCATCATCAGTCATCATCATCATCATCATCATCATCATCATCATCATCATCATCATATCATCATCCGCATCATCATCATCATCATCATCATCATCATCATCATCATCATCAGCAGCAGCAGCAGCATCATCATCATCATCATCATCATCATCATCATCATCAGCATCATCATCATCCTAATAATCATCATCATCACCACCACCACCATCAGTATCATCATCATCCTCATCATCATCATCATCAGCATCATCATCATCATCATCATCACCGTCATCGTCATCGTCATCGTCGTCATCATCATCAGCATCATCATAAACATAATCATCATCATCATCATCAGCAGCATCATCATCATCAGCAGCATCATCATCATCATCATCATCATCATCAGCATCGTCATCCGCATCACCATCATCACCATCATAATCATCACATCAGCATCAGCAGCATCAGTATCGTCGTCATCATCATCGTCAGCAGCATCATCAGCATCATCAGCATGCGCATCAGCATTAGTATCAGCATCAGCAGCGTCGTCATTGTCGTCCTCATCAGTATCTGCAGCATCAACACAGTCATCAGCATCCTCACCAACATCAGCATCAAAATCTGAATTCACCCACTGCCACATCATCATCATCATCATCATCATCATCATCATCATCATCATCATCATCATCATCATCATCATCATCATCATCATCATCAGTATCATCATCATCATCAGCATCATCATCATCATCATCATCATCATCATCATCATCATCATCATCATCATCATCGTCATCATCAACATCATCATCATCAGCATCATCATCATCATCATCATCATCATCATCATCATCATCAGCATTATCATCATCAGCATCACCATCATCAACATCCCCACAACCATCATCAGCATGATCATCATCATTATCGTCAGCAGCAGCAGCATCATCATCGTCAGCAGCAGCAGCATCAGCAGCATCATCAACAACATCATCATCACACTCATCGTCATATTCATATTCAGTTGCATCATCAGCATCATCAGCCTCATCAGCATCATCATCGTCGTCATCGTCATTATCATCATAATCATCATGAGCACAATCAGGTTCATCTTCTTCATCGTCATCACCATAATCAGTATCAACATCATCATCATCATCATCATCATGATCAGCCTCATCATCAGCAGCATCATCATCAGCGAATCATTACCATCATCCTCATCGTCATTGTCGTGATCATCATCGTCATCAACTACACCAGCATCACCACCACCCCCATCCATGATCATCATCATCAGCATCATCGTCGTCGTCAGCAGCAGCATCGCACTTGCCACCATCATCATCAACAACAGCATCATCATCATCACGACCATCATCATCATCATCATCATCATCATCATCATCATCATCATCATCATCATCATCATCATCATTCACTGCATCGTCATCATCAGCAGCAGCAGCATCAGCATCATCAGCACCCACGATCATGATCATCATCATCACCACCATCAGCAACAGTATCATCAGCATGGTCACCATCATCAGCAACATCACCATAATTATCAGCACATCCTCATGACCATCATCAGCATCATCATCATCATCATCGTTGTCATCGATACCATCATCAGCAGCAGCAGCAACCTCGCCGGCGTCATATTACGATCAACCCGTCCCTCCAGCAGCGGGTTGTCCAGGGGCTCGCAGACCAGAGTGTACACGACCTTGTCCACCTGCTTCCAGACAACCAGCTTGGGGTACTCGCCCAGGAAGGAGCAGGGACGAGCAGGAAGGAGGGGGAGGAGGAGGGGGGGGAGATGGCGAAACAGGAGCGGTGGCGAGAGGAGTTCAGCTGCACCGCCAACGACTCGGCATGACCCCGACTGTACTGCCGAAGCGCACACTCAATAATCGGCACAGCACAGGCTCGCAGTGCTGGCACACCCCGCGGGCACGCATCACAACCCCTCTCGACTCCCCCGTGTGTGCAGTCCCTCATGCGTGCTGGGGTTGTCGCTTTCCGCACACCATCTTTCTGCAATCAATATTGCCCATCCCATGCCGCTCCACGAAGACTCGCCACCCTCCTCGTGCCAAGGCAGGCCCCTCCTCGAACAGCACCGAAGCCTGCAGCCTGAGGATCCCCTCCGTGTAGTCCAACCCAGGCTGGGCCGAGGATTTGGAGTCCTCCCGAACCACTTGTTCGACGGACTTCCACACGACGTTCATGCGGCACTACTGCTTACTCGATAAGGTATTCGTTCGCTGCCTGCTCATCACGTATCTCCGAGTCCACCCTCTTACTGGCAACACAGCAGCCACCTTGACAAACACAATCACCAACGACAACGACACAACCATCATCATCAGCAGCAGCATCATCAGCAGTAGTATCATCATCAGCAACAGCAGTACCATCGTCATCATCAGCAGCAGCATCAGCATCATCGTCATCATCATGATCGTCATCATCATCGTCAGCAGCATCAG